GTATGGCTACTCCTCAAGAAAATGGGAATCAGTTTACCACAAGATCCAGCAATTCCACTCTTAGGCATATACCCAAAAGAAGCACATTCACACAACAAAGACATCTGTTCAACGATGTTCATAGCAGCACTATTTGTAATAGCCAGAATCTGGAAATAGCCTAGATGCCCCTCAGCTGAAGAATGGATAGAGAAAATGTGGTACATTTACACAATGGAGTACTATTCAGTGGAAAAAAAACAATAGAATCTTGAAATTCACAGGCAAATGGATAGAACTAGAAGAAACCATTCTGAGCGAGGTAACCCAATCACAAAAAGACAAACATGGTATGTACTTACTCATATGCGGATTTTTAGACATAGAGTAAAGGATTACCAGGCTATATTCTACACTGCCAGAGAAGTTAGTAAACAAGGAGGACCCTAAGAGAGACATACATGGTCCCTTGGTGAAGGGGAAAGGGTCAAGATCCCCTGAGCAACTTGGGAGCATGGGAAGAGTGGGGAGGGAGCTGGAGAATGAGAAGGAAAGAAGAGGAAGGATGCAGAGGTCATGAGGGAGCAGAAAGTTTGAGCCAGGGGAAGAATAGATATGTGATAGGTAGGGCTTTAGTTGGGGAGGGGATGGTAGCAGAGGAAGGGAGGGAGAAGGGAACTGGGACTGGCATGTAAAACAATCTTGTTTCTAATTCAAATAAAAAAATCTGAAAAAAAAAACCTTCTAAGAAGTATAATGCTACTTTAGATCATGGCTAACAAGAAAAACAAAAAAGAAGAGCGAGTTTTAGGGCATGTGTCATTTCCTGTTTGTTTCTGCTTCCTGTTTCACCAAGGTGTTATGTGATGAGTCCCTGATGCACACACACACAATTTTGCCACTTTTGAGCTGCCTGCAAGAGTGTTTTCCCTTTGTGTTGGGTCATGTCCTCTCAACTAAGATAAAATAAACCCTTCTTTCCTTAAGTTGCTTTTTGTCAGGCTTTTGGTCACAACATCAAAAGTATCAAAAACATCTATCTGGTATAGGTTTAAAACTGATATCACAATAATTCTCCTAACATTAAAATCCTTGTTGAGAATGTTTCAAAGATATCAAAAAGTTGCAGATCTTGTGCAACATTTACGTCACTTCATTATATGACTGAGATGACTTTTCTATTTTCATTCATTTATGCCTTTGGGCTACTGTTCCCCTTCTTCTAGTGTATTCGCTAAAGCATGCCTGTTATCCATTTCCAGCTTGCACTGCAGTGGCTTTGATTCTGTTGTGGGATGTAAGACTTGGTTTCAATGCTATAGCCTTAGCAGGGCTCATCAGCGAGTAGAGTTGAGCCCTACTACTTGGTTTAATTTCTTGGTTGCTTTGAAAGACTTAAAAATTAGCAAAGAAATATAGCCCAGATAAAGAAACTCTCTAAACTGAATGTAGGGCAGCCTAACCCAGAAACTAAGGCCACTACTATGACTTAGGGCCTGGAATTTACCAGCTAACTGGGTACCAAGAATTCCCAGATGGCCACCCTCCCCGAGGGGCTCATGGAGGAAAAGATTGCCCCACTGGCCAATGTGTCAATAATTAACAATTAAGGGTCCCTACGAAACAAAGAGATAGCTACCATTTGCTCAAGTAAGATAAGCATATCCTGAGGTCTGCAGGTTTTACAACTGGTGGGTCAGGAGGCTATCTGATTTCCAGCCCTCTCCTCAAGACAAAGGGCCTCCTAGGAACCCATGACTCTGGTCACACCCCTCCCTAAACTTGTGGTTTTTGCCTTTAAAAAACGCCTGTGCCTGGGGGACGGGGCTGCTCTCTACCTGCATGCTGAGAGAGCCCCTTTGTACAAATGTCCACCTTTCATTAAAGCCTCTTGCTGTTTGCATCAAGTTTCTGCTTCCTCATGGTGATTGGGGTGGTCGTGGTCCTGGGAAAAGATTCTGGAGGCCTGAGTTTCTGGGGGTTCTCACAGCTTGCCTGACTCTTCCTGTGTGAAGCAAGGTGTGTAGCCATGAAATGAAGGTGCTGGATTTTGCTATGCAGGTGCCCCAAAAGGAGAGATAACTTTAGAACTTCCACTGGCTAAAGATTTGTCCACCTTAGATGTTCCCAGAATTAGAAAGTAATTCCAGTCTTAAACCTCTTATAAGGTTTAATAAGATAGCAAGAAGAAACTTAAACAGTATATATTTTAGCTTACTTTAAAATTTATATTAATTAAAATTATATTAAGCATAATAAGAATAGAATTATATATGTGAAAGTACTTTGTAATTCATTCACCGTAAAGAATTACCCTATTTTCACACAGTTGAGTGAATTCTTTTGGCGTTATTTATCTAATTGTGTTATTGGTAGACACCAGAGAATCTTTGTATCTATTGCTTTTTTCAAGTTAATGATTCAGTTCAGATGTAGTTTATGATATATGAAACATAAAAGAGTTGACATTTTCTCATTTACCCATTTGCTTGCCCCACATACTGAAGTAGCAGAGTGTGATTTGATCTGTTTAATCTTTGATATATCTCCATCATCTGTAAGAGGATCTGGTATGTTGTTGTCTTTCAAAAAACTTTAGATGGGACAACGGATAAATGGTGACATGAAGCCCATAGAAAAATTGATAGAGTTGATATAACTCCTAAAACGTAATTAGTGATTCCCACAAGAATTAAACTTACCATATAAGAAAAAGAGAAAATTTAAAAAGTTACATGTTTGCTGATTTAACTCTCAAAAATTCTTTTAAAAATTCTTTAATAAGGCCAGCCTGGTCTACAGAGAAAGAGAATTCCAGGACATCCTGGTCTACAGAGAAAAAAAATTCCAGGTCAGCCTGGTCTACAGAGAAAGAGAGTTCTAAGACAACCAGGGTTACACAGAGCAACCCTGTCTTGAAAAACCCCCAAAATTTGCTTTAATAGCTTAAAGTGTAGACAAGAAACTAAAGAAGGTCACTAAAATTTGTACGCATGCGCCCAAACACACACACACACACACACACACACACACACACACACACACACACACACACACACACACACACACCACACGGTGTAACCAGCTTGGTGGGGTGAGGATGCAACTTGAGCCTATCTGAAGCCCCACTCACATTCATGGGTGAGGCCTGGGGTGCCCATTTCTCCATTATGTACCGGAACAGCATGAAGATCTTGTCAGAGAGCCGGTGGGCATCCAGTTTGGGATAGGGGAATTCCTTCCAGTGGTTGACATACTTGTAAATGGCCTTGCTGAATTTTTCAAGGGCTGCATTAAAAAAATACAACCACAGACTGAGAAAACATAAAGATGGGAAGAACCATGAATTTATTCTAAAAGAGAGAACAATTAACAAAAGTTTCTAAATCATCTTAAGACTTCATCAAATAAACATGAACATTGTTTAGGCCATTTTAATTCATAAATAATAAATGTAAAGGGCTGGGTGGTGGTGGCACACGCCTTTAATCTTAGCGCTCGGGAGGCAGAGGCAGAGGCAGGCTGATCTCTGTGAGTTTGAGACCAGCCTGGTCTACAAGAGTGAGTTCCAGGACAGCCTCCAAAGCCACAGAGAAACCCTGTCTCAAAAAACCAAAAAAAAAAAAAAGTAAATTAAAACTATCATGACATACTATTACTGGGAGATACTCTGTCCAGATGGAAAATATGTAACAGCAAGTGACACTTGCCAACCAGATTAAGATATTCTCACACACTGATGGCAGAGCAGAATTGATATAAACTACAAACTCTTTGGAAAACTCTTTGTGATCAGTCTGCATTGTGTGCGAAGTGTCCTGGAAACCTGTCTGGATCTTAACCAAACACTGCATCACAGGGGTACCCACCTATGCAGAAGGTTTGCTTCATATTTTCATCCTCTACCAGCCTGAGCATGGTCTGCATGGTGAGCAGGGTCATCATCATGAAAGGGATGCTCTGGGACACTACAGTGAAGGGCGCAAGAGGAAAAGGCATCATTCACTTTCTCATGTGGGAAATCCCGACTCTTTCCTGTATCTACTACAAATATCCCAGGGCTGAACAGCATACAATAGACAGATGAGGGGCAGAGGGAATTTTGTGTTCTTGCTCTTCTTCTCCCACCTGAAAGCCTGAATATGGGTTCATCAAGGTGTGGTGGGTCTGAAGGAAAACAGTAGCTACCTAGCCACCTACACACGTTGATTAGTAGCAAACAATTGCTATTTGGATCATTACTTCACGAATGTTTATATCTCCTATCTAGCGTTGCCTCTGTTCCAAGGTATAGCAAATGTGACAGGTGCTCAATAGCATCTGTTCAATGAAGTACTATAGAAACAAATGACGGGAAACCTTTTTTTACATAAGTGTCCTGTTGCTGGTCTCTTATGACTCATGGAGAATGTGCTTCTGTGGAAGCAGAGACACAAGAAGGGGATGAGGAGGATGGAAAAGAGCTCAACCCTATTTAGTACATCCTGAATCAATGGCTGGCCATCAGGTTCCTCTATGCTCATAACACCTCTCATGCTTTTCTGTCAATGGTTTTTAGTGCAGTAGAACATAGACACTCATGCTTTTGCCTTAACTCTTTTTTTTTTGATTTTAGGCAATTAGTCAGGTATAGTTATTTCCTAGGGAACACTTGGAATGTTCCTTTTATACCATAGCTGGTTGCCAGTTCAGCCAGGGCAAGCACAACAAATTCATTTGGCAGCTCCAGAATCCTGAAGTTACTTTGCACTTCATACATCACAGAGTTGAAATCATGAGCAGCAAGAGACACCAGCACCTCACCAGCCAGCATTCTGATTTCTCTTGGAATCTGAAGAAGATAAAAATATAAGTAGAAGAGCGAGTCTAAAAGGGGGAATAGTCTATGTAATATTCTAAGTTTACCTAGATTTGAGATAGAGGAAGAACAGACTGATTGAAATTCATAGTACAAATCTCTCAGGTAGGATTCAGCAACTGGGAATGCAGAGGCAATTTTTATGCAGTTCTTATATACTTGGGAACAATCTATGTTTCTATGTTTCTTTTCCTTCTCTTCAGACAGTTTCATGTTTTATGTTTAAGAAATATGAATTACTGTGGTTGGATAAGTAATGGTGAAAAGAATCAGGCCTGGGGTTTAGTGCTTTAATTTAGGTGTAATTCGATTTAATTATCTTAAAATTTAGAAATGATGGGAGACACTTCTATTTTCTGTGATGGTAAGCTAGGTAAATTTGATCAACCCTCCCACTAAGGGTAATAAAATCTCAACATGATACAAACAACCCACTGAAAACTGTACTCTTAAAAGCACCAGAGAGCTTAAACATAGAGCATAAGGAATTCCTGAATTGAAATTTGGAAAAAGGTCAGACAATGCAAGATAAGGAGGTAGATATTGAGACAGGAAGTGATATGGGACCCAAGAAAACTGTACTCCACTGAAATAAACTCTCTCAACTATGGACAATATTCCCTCAAAAGTCTTTCATATACTTTTCTCATTTCCTGTGCATTGGTAACAAAGAGATTCTACTAGTAACTAAGTAAGCTACCACGAAGAACAAATATTCTGATTATGGCTCTGGGATCCATGAAGGAAAGGCATTTGTGATATACATGTTGTATCCAAGTCAGCCAAAGTCTTCAATATCAGCCCTAGGGCACATTCACCACCAAGACGAAAACTTACATCCTCATCCCTCATGTCCTTAGAAGTGTAATAAATCAACTTTTGGACTATTGCATCATCCAAGATGTCAGTATTCTGAATAAAAGAAGCGAGATGACTGTAAATGTCTTCCTGTGAACACAGAAAGGTACAAAAGGTACAAATTAGAGTTTCAAAAATAAAGATCTCAGAAGAAGTGTACATAAATGACACCACTAAACTAAGCAAAATATATGTACTGCACAGTATTCTAGACTTTTAAAGCATAATATGCCTCTTTAGGAGCCAAAGGTCTACATATGGAGCAACATTAATTCTAAACCTTATTTTATCCTGTTACATTTCTAAGACAAGATAATAATTGAATTAGAGGCAGAGCTGTCAGTGTCTGCCTCTCAGATCAAAAGTATCTCACAGTCCCAGTTGTAGAGATGGCAAGGAAGTGTCCATCACCCGAGTTGCTGCTCTTACAACTGGGGTCTTTGTTATGGCACCAAGAACCACCTTCTATCTTCCAGGACATTGCTGCACTGTGAAGCTGCATCCCAAGGGTGTTACAGACTTTCATCTATGGCCTTTCTGAGACAATATGGGGACCTTCTTGGACAGCAGTGCAGCTCTGGGAGACATGCCATTTGAACACATGCCCATGTTGGGGCTTTTACAAATCTTCTGGATGCTGACATGTGGAAGATGAAAGGGAAACTGGAGTTCTCAGATCTCCAATTGCCTAAAGCACACGCCTCCAGGAATTGCACCTGTGTCTATGGTGTGAAATAGCTGTCTTTATCCTAGCAAAGCAGATCACTGTGTTACACTCACCCTAGGAAATGTTAGAAAAAGGCATAGCTTGTTTTTTTTCTCTGTATTTCCTGTGATTGTCTAAACACTCATAAGACTCTGCCTTGCTCCATGTTTATTCTCTGATTTTCGAAGGCCTTGTTCTCTTTGCAAAAGTCACTTTATGGAGCCTTTACCATATTTTGGAGCTGGGATAGACCCTTTATTTGTAACGTTTTGATGGGGAATGTACTTCTTTGTATGTTTATCTTATTGACTGTTGAATAAAATACTGTTTGGCCAATGGCAAGCAAGGACTAGGAGTCAAAGAGGATTCTGGGAAATGTAGTAGAGAAGTGATGATCCCGGCAGGAAGTGACATGGCAAGGAGACTCATATCTAAGTGAGGAAACAGGAAGTATGCCCTCTTTCCCCTCTGCTCCTGCTCCTGCGGCACAATGTGATCCACTGACAAGGAGGGACACCATTAAGGTGTCTGATAAGTCTTATAACATATATAGATTTATGATAATTAAGACTGAGCTAACAGATGAGAAGTCCTAGTCATTGGCCAAGCAGCGTTGAACCTAATACAAGTTTCTGTGTATTTATTTGGGCCTAACTTGGGCTGGCGGCTGGCGTAAAGCACACACGTGGCAGTGGGGCTCAGGCAGCTTTTGGCAGAAAGATTTATCATAACAATGTTTCATTAATGTTCACAACAATGCTTTATTAACATTTTTGTGCCACTAATAGATTCAAAACGGGGGAGAGAGTAACTTCATTTGTAGTTACTGTTGAGTGTTGATGCTACACTTTGAGTACTTGAATCCTTAGCTGAGTCCTTCACCCATTGGATGTAGTGCTGGCTACTTTTATTTTGATACCACATCTGGGCCCATTTCCATTGATTTTTGTTTTTCAGAACATCACACATGTAGGAATGCCTGGCTTGTAACTTGCTACATAGATCAGGCTGATCTCAAACTCATATTAGGCCTGCCTGCTTCTGCCTCTTGAGTGTTGAGATCAAAGGTATGATCAACTATGCTTGACCCCATTTCTTTAAAAATTTTATTTGTTTTTATTTATGTGTATGTTCCTGTGTGTATCAGTGTACATGTGAGTACAAAGACTATAGAGGCTAGAAGAGGGAGTTACATTGCCTGGAACTAGGGCTGTTGGTACTTATGAGCTTCTGACAGTAGCTGATAAGGAACACAAGCCGTATACAAGATTTGGTTATTAATGGTATATTATAAATGATAACAATGTAAACAACTCACGTGGGCACTCCAAGCTGCCAAGATCCCAGATGCTTCCAAGAGCTGGCTGAACCCTGAGAGAGAGGGAGCACCTCCAGTCCTCTCTCTTTATCCTACCCCTCTATGTACCTGTGGCCACACCCAAATGGGCATCATCAGTGGTACATCCAGGGTCTCTTCCTACAATCAGGTGTGGCTGTTGGAACCAAACCAGGTCTTCAGCAAGAGTAGCCTGTGTTCTTAACTGCTGACCTGTCTGTCTAGACCCTGACCCCATTTCCATTAACCAATTTCCCCCATCATGAAAACAGCCTAGAAGTGGTGGCTAAAAAAATATGCTATTCTTTAGTTTCTCCTCTAGAAACCCTATCTCAGTACTTAATCACTCCAGAAATAATTTCCTAATCTTTTCTAAATTTTTGAGAAACAGTGCTCTATGGGAACATTCGTTTCTGTTGTGAGATTCATAAAATGGTTGTTAATCATACCTAATGTTAGGAGCTTTATATGCCTTGTTTGTCATTGAAGGAAATAATTAGAATTCCTGACAGTGAGGCCTAGTTTTTGGTATTTTCTTCAAGCAATCAATAGGCAAGCAGGATTGAACATCACCAAGTCACAGTATAACACCATAGACACTGCCTTTCCCAAAACGCAATGCTGAGAAATAATTAGGGTGATTTTTTTGGCATGAGATTGGCTTCTGTCTGAATATGCTGTAGATGTCCCTATTTGGGTAAGTCACACAATGTATCACTGTCAAATGAAAATAGAAATACAACATCATGGAGTTGTGAGGAGTGGTATTATATAACACATGCTATGTGGAGAGCATCAAGCAGTCCACTTCATAGACAAGTGTTCAGTGAAAGGCAGTAACTGTTATTTGGCACTTGATGACTGAAAAAACCTTCAATTTCCAGAGAAATTTTCAGGTGTGGGACAGCAAGATAGGTGAACATGGGAAGTCTGCACATTTTCAAAGCAACACTCCCATTACAAAGGAGGAGAATCTAAATCATATTGTTATAAACCTGGCATTTCCCACTTTCCACTTCTACCTACATATGGTTATGTACAAAAATCCTTCAGTAACTTCTGTGAATCTTGAAATGCTAAATACCATTATTTCAGCACTATAATGACTTCTATTACAAATGCATTTTTCTAAAAGATTTAATGACATAAGAGAAGCCAGAAAAGAAGAAGGAAGCTGAAGCAAAGGGGAACGTGTATAGAATGTCTCAAGTGCTGGATAATAGAAGATGAACGGGAAAGAGACCTTTGCATACCTTGCTAATGTTGTCCTCCTTACTCAGCATCCCAATAGTGAGGTTAATATCGCCAAACATGTCTAAAATACATAGAGGAAGAATTAAAATAGGCATCAAACTTCACCCCCACATTAGCAGCAGTCCCAGAAATTCACTTCCTGTCTGCCTCCACTCTCCCCTTAAAAAATATCTCTGTCTCTTTCTTTCATTGCTAGCTCCTGATGGTAAGAATGTATTGCATTTATATTTCCTATCCCCAAGGGACTTGACGCTAACAGATGTGTAGTGACATTCTGAAACTAAGGATCAGTGTAGAGGTGCAGAGAGAGCATGCAAGATTCCCATTTGTGACTCTGATCAAGTGTGTAGCACCCTCTATACGTCTTCTAGCATGGTTTGACTTTCAGGTTCAATAAGATAAATCCTTCACATCTGACTTTAGCATTAGAAGAAACAGTGGGAATCACTTCTTGATTTTTCCTCCTTCCTCCCTTAATGAGCCACTGTGTTTCCCTCCCATACTTTCTTCTTGTTTATCTACTTTTTTTGTGCTTTCAAGGACCTTCTTCTGCACCACGTACACAGCACTTTGCTTTTTCTCAATAAAGACCTAACTATTGGATTTGTATTTTCCAAAAAGACGTTTTTTGATAAAAGATAATAGAAAGTAATTAAATGCTGCCACTACTGCCACTACCACCATTATCGCCACCACTCCCACCCCTACTACTACCATTAACAGGAGCAACAACACAGTTGGAATCAAAAGACTGCAACAATTTCAGGCTAATGGCAGGCTGGCAGGAGGAAGGGGTAAAGATTTCCCATGAGCCTGTGAGTCAAGCACATACCCTATTAGTGTAGAACTTTAGGCAAAGCAAAAGATAGCACTGTTGAAAATTGGAAGAAAATGTTTCAAAGATTTTAAAATATTCAAGATTAAATAAGAAATGATCTTTTTGGTATATATATGCATTTATACACACATATGTGTATAGTGTACATACACACTATATATACCCTTTCCCTCAAGTAGATTGAAATACAACTATCTCAGCCTTCCAGTCTCTCACTGATCCTTCACAATCAACATTTTATTTTTATCTATTTTTTCATAAAGAGGAAATAGAGTGAAATAATCTGACCTCAGCAAAAGCCTTTAGAATCATCCAGAAAAAACCATGCATGTTAGACTTCTCACTCCTCAGGACCCAGAGACACTTACCTGTGTATTCCTCCATGTGGGGAGTTGTCTTGGCCGTTTGAGGCTTTACAAGAGACAGCACCTAAATATCAGAAGCAGTTCAGCTAAAAAGTCAGTGAAACAAGTTGGCAAATTTCTCACATAAGGTTCCCTAAATGAAAGTCCTTCCTCACTTGATTGGCAGGGTGATCTGGGAGCTTCTGGTGATGGGTTTGCTCTTGAGGCGGACGATGCTGAATTCTATCACCATCACATTTTGCTTCTGAGCTCCTGATAACCAAGATGGCTGCATCTCACCGAATGTTGTCTCTTTGGAGGAGACCAGTATGTTTAAGGAGGAGGAATTAGAAAGTAGGACTCAATCCATTGTTATAGATGAAAGGAGCCACTTTCTCCGTTGTTGGGTCCATTGATCACAAGTTTAAGAATTATTTGTTTTGGTGGCCACTTTACTGGCCTGATGTTGGTAAAGCTTTTAGGTGGTCTTGATAGTTCTATTTGGTGAAAGTCAGTCACACAACTGGGCATGCTCAGTGGACTGGAATGCCTGTCAGGGACAGTTGCAAGGAATGACCAACTGACACAGAGGCAAAGCCAAGCCACTCTGGCCCCCTCCCCATCACTCCTCACTGACTTCTCAGAATCTTAGCAGTCCCATAGGCTCAGGCTGAGGCTCCTTTATATCTCTTTGGTTTCAAATGATTTGTTACATTGATTTCTTGGCCATGGTACTTTTATAAGGTGGATTTGAATCTTATCCAAATGCCCCTGAGGCCTAAACCCATGTGATTGCAGTCTCCAATACTAGAAAGATGACTGTGAAGTAGTCTAAACAATCTGTGGGGCTGGATGTGAACAGAAGATGCTCATAGCAATTTTGATGATGGCTTCTCAGGTTATTTTCGTTAAAGAAGCTTATTTCAGATCACACAATGAAGTGGTTAAAACTAGGCTTTTGACGTAATCATTCTTCAGTTGAGAACTTTTATTGGTGTATACTTTTTAAATAAATGGTATTAGATTTTATAAAGAAAATTTCAAATATATCATGTAGGTTTTACCAAATCACCCCATCTACTTTTTTCTTCATCCTCCTTCATATTCGTTCTATTTTGTTTTCTTCTCCCAGCCTCCCTTTTGCTCATTGTGTGTGTGTGTGTGTGTGTGTGTATAGTCTAGAATCCAAAATGAGAAGAAAAAGATATCTGCCTTCTGAGCCAGGCTCATGTTGCTTAATATGACAAAGTCCAATGACACCCATTTTCTAGTAAAAAATAATTTGATTTTTAATTTGTGACTGAATGAAAGTGGATTGCATATATAAACAGCACGTTCCTTTCACCCACTCTCCTCTTGGAAGACGACTAGGCTTGTACCATGCCTTGGCTCTTGTGAACAGTGCAGCAGTGAGCTGGAATGTGTTAGTATCTCTGTGGTAGGATGAGTGCATGGATATATACCCAGTAGTGCCACAGCTGGGTCATATGTTAGTTCTAGCTTTAGTTTCCCACTCTCCACACTATGAATGGTTGCACTAATTACAACCCTACCAGCAGTGTATGAGATATTTTCCCCCACATCCTTACCAGCATTTGTTTGTTTCTTTTCATTTTGTCCCATTTGTTGATTGGGTTGTTTTGCTTTTTCAGTATTTAACCTTTCGAATGCATTCTAGATATCAATCTACATCAGATGTATAGTGAGCACAGATTTTCCTTTCATCCTGTATAGGCTCTTTCCAGTCTCCTATTTCTCTTGCAGTTCAGAAGCTTTTTAATTTCACATAATTCTATTTGTCAGTCCTTGGTATGATTTACTGAGCTGTGGTGTCTGTTTCCCAAAGTTCCCACTTTTGCCTATCTCCTAGCAGTTTCAGAGTTTCAGGCCTTGCCTCAAGGTCTTTGATACAGTTTGAGTAGATTTTGTTAATCATCTATCTAGTAGACACATATCTGTCTCAGTTTTCCAAGTGGGCATCACTTTCCCTGGGCGTGTCCTCTATAACACCTTATCCCAAGATGCAGGCCCTACCTCCAACTCAGGCCTGGGAAATTAGAACGAGGCATGAGGAATCTGTATTAGAAGAGTACTGATCTATATTTTAGTGAGTAATGATCATGAAAGTCTAAGAAACACTTGGAGAGCTCTTGTTCCCCAGACTGATAGCTGGGAAACCAACATGGAACTGATCCAGACCCCCTGAATGTGGGTGTCAGTGAGGAGACCTTGGAAATCTTGGGGACCCTTGTAGTGGATCAGTATTTATCCCTAGCATAGGAATGGACTCTGGGAGCCCATCCCACATGGAGTGATACTCCCTGAGACTAGACACAAGGGGGTGGGCCTAGGCCCTGTCCTAAAGGATATGACAGACTTGATCCAGACCCCCTGAATGTGGGTGTCAGTGAGGAGACCTTGGAAATCTTGGGGACCCTTGTAGTGGATCAGTATTTATCCCTAGCATAGGAATGGACTCTGGGAGCCCATCCCACATGGAGTGATACTCCCTGAGACTAGACACAAGGGGGTGGGCCTAGGCCCTGTCCTAAAGGATATGACAGACTTTGACGACCCCCCTATGGAAGGCCTCACCCTCCCTGGGGAGCAGATAGGGTATGGGATAGATAGGGTATTTAGTTGGGTGGACAGGGGAGGAGGGGAGGGAGAGGGACCTGGGATTAACATGTAAAATAATCTTCTTTGTAATTAAAATAAATTAAAAAAAGAAACACTTGGTAGGATCCTTGTCCAACAACCAGCCAGTAAATAGGCAAAACTTTCAACAGTTTTTTGAGGGTGCTCACTGCAATTGGCAAGCATAACAGATGCTCTTCTGCATTCTGCCTCATTCATACCATTATCAAAATGGTCTGTTGTTGCTGGAGTTTCTTGTCCCACCAGGTCCCAAAGCCACTTCAGCCACAAATAAACACACAAAGACATATTAATTATTAAACTGTTCGCCAATGGCTAGGGCTTCTTACTGGCTATCTCTCTCTTAATTATTAACCCATAACTATGAACCTATGTATTTCTACATAGCTTTATCTTACCAGAGAATGTCTGGCATATCCCATCATCCCAGTCTCTACATGGCATTCCCTCGAGGTGTCTCTCCGCCTCTCTCCCCAGCATTCTCCTAGCCCCGCCTATCTTCCAGCCTCTATTGACCAAACAGTGTTTTACTCATCAACCAATAAGATAAAAATATATACAGAAGGACATCTCCCATCAGTCTGAGGTGAGTCTGAGCATTACTGTGATGGTTAGTGCCACCCTGAAACTCAATGCTGTCCTAAAGCATATTCATGTAAGTCATGTCATTCAGACTGAGCACATTGTATTTATATATTTATGAACACATATATTTACATATTTATGAACATACATATATATATTTACACAATGGGCTGCTACTCAGTGGGAAAAAAGAATTACATCTTGAAATTCACAGGCAAGTGGATGGAACTAGAATAAAACCATCTTGAGTGAGGTAACCCAGACACAGAAAGACAAACAGGGTATGTACTCACTCATAAGTAGATATTGGACATAGAGAAAAGGATTACCAACTTATAATCCACAATCCCAGAGAAGCTAGGAAGCAAGGAGGACCCTAAGAGAGACATACATGAACCTCCTGAGAAAGGAAAAAAGACAAGATCTCCTGAGTATTTACATATTTATGAATACACATATTTTATATATATGTATATTCATAATATTAAATATGTGTATAAGTTTATATATATTTAGGAGTATATATATGTGTGTATACACACATGTTTATGTGCACACACAAATATGTAATAATGAAAAAGAGATCATGAATTTTAGTGAGAATGTGTTGGGGATGCATGGGAGGAGTTGGTGATAGGAAGGGAAAGAGGGTAATGATATAATTATCATCTCACAAACTTAAAAAAATTGTGAAAATGACAAATAAGAAATAATATGCTTTTGGAGTGTTAAAGAAGATTGTGCAATAAAGTTAATAATTAGAATCTAGCTATTTAGGAAATTGTTATAACTTTCGTTTTTTTGTGAATGGCAACAAATGATTTTTAGGCATTTCCATGCATAAAGATTTTGTTGATTTCATAGAAAATAAGGGAGGGTAGGAGATGATTGATTTATCTTAACTTTGTCATTTACTCATCAGCACAATCCAAACAAATATTCTTGACTAATGTCTTTTCAGAGAAAGCACATTTAAACAGATTAGAAAACCCTATATTCTCAGAACAGCCAATTTTCTGTAATTTTTTCCCTTTTGGGGGGACCTTCTTCTTGCACATTTTCATCAATTCCTCTTCTCCTTTCGTTAGACAAACACAATGTAGGTTTGATTCCTGTGAGGCTCTAGAAGCTTGTTAAACAGCAATTCTCAAAGCTGGTGAAGATGGTGTGTAGTGAGGAATTCAGTACTATTTCTCAATATTTGTTTATGAAGGAGCCTGAATTCAGCCTTCTTAAAAACTAGGGTGCCTCTCTAGGTGAACAGTAACTCTTTGCTTTCATTATCTTTGTCTGCTTCAGACTCCCTGTATTACTGGGGAAAATCAACCAAGGCCCTAGATTACAAAAACAGTAAGGGATCCATTTTGTTGGCTTTATGATCATTTCCCATGCCAAGCGACCCCTCCAATTTTCATGGTAATTCCAAAACCATTGTTAGTGTCCCTAATTCCAAAGCAACAGAACTTTAAGTGTGGCTTTCTATCAAACCTTGGTTGTAGGAGTTTCTTACTTTTCTATCCATAAACACAGTAGGAAAATAATCTCCCTTATTGTACTGGTAGATATTGGTGATACAGGGAGAGTAGACTGGAGAACCTAGCAGGGGTGAAACCCAAGGCAGTGTCACTGTGGGTCTTGAGCTAAGGGGGTTGTGGCACATGACTGAAATGGGAGGATGAAGTTGGGAGAGAGAGGGCAGAGGGATTTGGAGAGAGAATACAGGGAGAGCAAATTAAAACTAACCATTTGAGGGGTAGTATAGAAACCTAATTCAGTAGAAGCTTCCTAAAATATAAA